AAATTTCTATGTAAACCAGGCATATGTTCATACTCCCAAACAAAACAATCCTTATATTCTTTTAATAAAGTGGTTAATTTATTACTAACCTCTTGATCGAGCATCCGGCTCATAAATGTTGGGTTATCTTCCCCTTCGTCACCAATATTCACCTTAATCAAAGTGTTTTGTGCTTGAGCGTATCCAGACTTTGTGATCATCATTACTTCGTCATCAATATCCCTTATAGGCACTTCCTCTTCTAAACAATTCACCTTGTTGACTTCTTGGCCAATACTCTGCTCCAACTCGAACACTGTCAATTTGTTTCCCAATGCTTTTAATGCTGCTTTTTCTTTCGTATTGTCGTTACATTCTTTATTGAAAGCCATTAACTTGGCTTTGAAGGCCTGAATGTTGGGCATTTGCCTTTATTGTTGACAACTCATCTAAAGTTCTTTGACTAGCCTTTTGCCAACCACTGGCTCTTCCAGAGCCACTATGTTTGGCCTCATTTGACTGAACATTTTAGAAAGTGCATCCACTGAAAATGGCTTTTTACTTTGTGCAACAATTTGAGTTTCTTCTCCATCTTGGACTAATCGACAGGTCCATAATTTCTTTCGTACATGAATCTTTCCACTGAGTTTGCTTCTACAATAAAGGGTCTATGATCTGCCTGCATTACTTCTGCTTCGCCCTTGTCATTCCAAAATACCAAGCACTGGTGGAGGGATGAAGGTATGCAAGACTCCCATGGATCCAATCCCTTCCTAGTAGCACATTATAACTAGTAGGGTCATCTATTACAAAGAAAACAGTGGTCCTACTAGTTGTCCCCATAGTTATCTCCAGTGGCATAACTCCTTTAGCCGAAGTTGCTCCTCCATTGAAACTTGTGAGAATGACTTCTATAGGAATCATATCACTTTCTGTCTTTGTGAACTTCCTCATCATTCTGAACAGAATGGTGTTTATGGTTGCTTCATTGTCAATGAGTGCTTTCACCACAGGTACACCATTGACTAAAGCTTTCACGTACAATGGCCTCAAGTGCTTGGTTAATTTCATGGCTGGTCTCTTGAAGATAACCTTCTCAGCAGCATCTATTTCCACTTCCTGTTTGTCCTCTATTGAATTATTTCCTTGTGATAACTCAACGTACAATATGTCATACTGAGCTTTTGTTTCCTAAATTTCATTTCTACTGCTTTCTAGTGTTTCTTCTTTAGTTATCCATCCTGTAGGGAGAGGTAATATTCTTAGAGGCGACCCATATTTCTTAGAGCGAGGCACTCTTCTCTTCCTTTTGGGTATCCTGTACAACACGTAATAATCAAAGGAACGACCAGATGGTTCTCCCAAGAAGTCTACCTCGGGAACACCTTCTCGATGTAGTTGTTTCAACAACGTATTGTAAAATACTCCCCTATTTCTTCTCTCTGCTTCCAGATCAATTTCTTCTTCGATGTCCGTCATACCATCGTCCTCTTCTCCGCCGTATACCCCCTAAATGTCCGACCTTCTTTACATTCCAGTACACATGCTTCCTCTTTGTTATCCTCTTTTTCTTCCTCCTCTTTCTCTTTGTTTTTGAATTCATTGGCTAGTAAATAGTTATTAGCCAGGACCGAAGGTAACGTAACTAACTGAATAGTGAGGGGTTGATCTGGATCTTCTTCATCCTTTTTATCTCTCTCAAACTTTGATCTCCCAGAAAAACTTTTTGGCAGTTCTTCCATTGATTCACCTGTACCATTTTCTTTACTATCCTTAAGAACATTTTGATTGGCCACTTTAAGTAGTTTAGACGCTTTAGGACGTAGCAATCCCTATTGTTGCCTCATCATTCGTCCATAATTCCGTTGAAAGCGTCTTTGTTGGGTTCTAGTCATATCATTGAAGGGTATCATCCTTCCTGCATTATACTGGAATGAATGCCATACATTTGGTTGGCGAGATTGCAGCCTAAATGTCCTCCCATTATTCATTGGCCTGAACTGCCTCTCAAAAGGCGGTCCTCTATAGAATAATGTACCTCGCCCTCTAACAGGTTGAGCGTTTGGGACAAAATCAGGACGATGGTGATGCTGCCATATCCCTGGTTTCTCTATATTTACACTTACGTCTCCTTTACATTTTGCACACAGGATATTTCCGTCTTCTCTAGGATCTTTCTCTTTAATACGTTCAAAAACACTGGGATGTGGCCCAGGATCTTTTTCACCATCATCTATAACCAATTTGAATTTTGGCAACTTGTTTTTGAAACCAGTCGTCACCATGTTCACCCTAAGTGCCTATGGGAAAGGATTTTCATCCACTACCATTTTCTTTTATTCTACAAACGTGATTCGTCCTGACTCAATAGCGTACTGTAAAACATGACGGAAAACCAAGCAAAAATTAGTCATATG